ACTCCTTTTTCTCAAAATACTAATTTCAAAGCAATTGTAGATAATTTGTCCGAAACGGCTGGACCGTTCGACCTGAAGATTTTCTGAGAAAACATTAGAAGATACAACTTACATCGATGTATATTTACGATTTTCATTCCAAAAATACTTTTTTTTTATATTAAATATTAGTTCAAATTTAACGTAACAACGAAAAGGCCGTGTTTTATACTCTAACTTAACATATTTCAACCGGCGACGTTAAACAGCTGAGTAAATAGAGAAACCCAAGCAAAAAAAAAAAAAAAAAAAACAAAAACGACATCAACTAGAAAATACTAAGCTCTGTGTGTTAATTTCGTTTTATGGCTCAGTTGCGACATAACTGTTCTGCCGGTCGGTTAATTTCACCGCTGTTGGAAAAATAAAAGAAAATACAATAAATTTATTTAATATCAGTTATGCCACTGTTAGTCGTAAAAATGTAAGTGCGTGTGTCCTCCATTTCCCCATTTTTTCAACTAGCCAACCAATCATTTGCCCGCCGGTGAGTATCGGAAACAACTGAGGATTGACACAAAGCCATCAAGCGATGACGACTCCGCGTCTAAACGTGCTCGCCACTGCCACAACCGCGCGCTGAGCCCAGCAGCAGCAAGCGACTGCGAACAGCGATTGTTATGACAGCCACCCGTTTGACCCCAATCGCTTGGCATTCTCAGCCGCTTTTATACTCCCGCAGAATATTAAGCGGTGACATTGTCATTCTGTTCACACCAGACTCCTTGCAGGTCAACGCAACGGAATTAAATCCACCGTAAAAAAGCAAAAAAGAAAAACTAAATGAATGAAAAACCGTTGTACATGTATATGTTAGTGTGTATGTGTATTGCCATGGTTATCATATACTTTATGTGTTTGTTGGATTTATTATATTTGAGTTGAAGTTTTCGCCTGAGGCTACTCTTGTGGTCTATTATCGGTAATAAATGAAAAGTGCAAGTGTCCGTTATTTATGCCATACGTTTGTTTTGACGCTGAAGCTTAAAGCTTCAAGCTAACTAAGTGTTATTATGTTTTTCTCTTTTGGTATGTATATTTGTGAGAAGCATCGTGTTTTATAACCAATTGCATATTTGAACGTCGCTTTTATTTCTGAGAAGGATTGCTGGCCTAATTCGCAACCTTTTCGTATTTTTCCTACTTAATGGCGTCTAGAGAAAGATAAACACACCGATATTGATGTTTTGATAAAGATAATACGTTTTCCCTCTTTTAAGTAATTTAGGCGAAAAATTGTATAAACGTTCTACTTTGAGGAAAGTAAGAAAAAGGTGGAAAATAAAATCGCAATAAAAACAAAGAAAACGTAAATATTTTTATTAGAGATCCTTTCATTCCATTACTTTTCATGCCTTCTTCTTTCTTATTTTGTATTTCCGAAAAGAGCTAACGGCGTGATTTTCTTCTAAAAGTGCTTGGAAGCGAGCTGAAGTTGAAAAAAAAAATTCTGCAACAATATTATTAAGTTGTTAAAAATGTTGTAGTAGGCATATTTCTCCTCCTCTCTCTCTCTATGTTGCCTTAAGATTTTCACTAGCGGCTTCCAAGCGAAAATTTAAGATGTCGAGCTACTTTGTAAGCAGGATAAAGGTAGATAGCCAACGAGGGCTTCTTAGCTAAGCGGATTCTTAGTATTGGTGTCTCAAATCGCGATTTTCAAAAAGTCATCTCAAATCTCTCTTGTTTTATACTTTGTTCATAAAATTCGAATAAAAATATGTGGGTGAACGAGAGATTTCTGTTTAGCTGTATTGGGTTAACTAATAAAACCTAGCAAAATCCAGAATTCTGGAACTAGTCGTTGATGAAATATAATTTTATTCAAAATTGTAAATTCAAAAAATAAATCAGATACAAATTTTGCAAAATAAAAATATGGAAGCTTAACAAGTCCATATAGACTTGGTAATTAATAGCCATGCCTTGGGCTTTCGCGTGGAAAATAGTAAGAAAAATGAGTGCTAAGGGTAGTCACAACGCAAAGTACCTTTCATTATGACTTTGCAGCAATAAAAGTTGTTATTGTTTTAAAAATTACTTTGCTCTCTTAAATTAAAATATTTTTTACAGAGATTTTCGTCAAAAATGAGATATTCATAAATGTCTTTGTGTTTATTTAGATTACTAAAATCAAACCTACTAAGCTTACCACGAAATTTGCAAGACCCCCCCGAAAGGGCCATTTAAATGTATATACATTTGTATAGCCCTTAAATGTTTGAGATATTGATCTGAAATTTTTTCATCCGTCCTTTTCTCTTCAAGTAGTTGCACACTTGCCGGAACTTGCCATACATCTTACCGCTTAAACTTCCTTATATGGAAGACCTTTATTTTTATACTCTCGCAACAAAGTTGCTAAAGAGAGTATTATAGTTTTGTTCACATAACGGTTGTTTGTAAGTCCTAAAACTAAAAGAGTCAGA